CTGGGAGCCCAGAAAGAAAGGCAAAGGGAATTCCCAGAATACAGCTGCACAGGAGCCCCAGAAGTAAACCAGTCCACAGGATGGAGGTTTCCTAACCTCAAAAATAAGAACTGAACTAAAATAGCAAGTTTTTGATCTTCTGTTTCCCAAAATACTTTCCAAAACACTGTTCCCAAAAATCTCTCTCCAATACTCAGACACACGTGCACACGTGCACACAAGCGCACACTTTATTAAAGTCTCAGCCTGGGACGCCCGGGTGGCTAGGTGGTTGAGCGTCTGCCTTTGGCTTGGGGCGTGATACTGGGGTCCCAGGAGCTCCCTGCATGGAGCCTGCTTCCCCCTCTGCCTATGTTTCTGCCTCTCTCTGTGTCTCTCATGAATAAATAAATAAAATATTTTAAAAATAATAAAGTCTCAGCCAGTTCACAAACCACACTGGGCAGTACTTTCTCAATCATCCCGCTCTACTTCAAGCATGTCTACACTAAATAATCTCCATGCTCCTTTCTGGTCCTCTAGGTGAATGAATCTAAAGGTGTAGCCTGTCTGGACAAAAAGAAAAGGAACCTAGGAATTATGGCAAAGTGCAAATTACATTTTAATTTAATGTCTTTGAGATAGTGGGATGTGTGTTTATACTGGTAGAAACTCAAAAATATGATTAAACTCAGCACACTTGTTATCATGGTGTTAGTTCCAGCTCAACAGGAGGTCTAGAAACCTGAACTCAGGGCTTACAAAAGGTGATAGGTGGTAATCAGACCTATATGAAAAATTTCCAAAATCACAATTTTCCTGGGGCTCCTGGGGGGCTCAGTCGGTCAGGTGTCCGACTCTTGGTTCCAGCTCAGGCCATGATCTCTGGGTCATGCAATCGAGCCCTGCATCAGGCTCCGTGCTCAGTGTGGACTGTGCCTGAGACTCTCTCTGTGCCTCTGCCTCTGCCCCTCTCCCTGCTCATGCTCTCTGTCTTGTAAAATAAACACATAAAATCCTTTTTAAAAAAAAATCACAGTCCACAGTCGTCTTGGAATAAGGCAATCAAAAGGTACCATTCATCAGTCTTTTTGTATCTGGCAATTTCTTTCAAAGAGGTTCACAGTGAGGCCATAAAAAGAGCAAAGCAAGAGGAAACTGGCTTTTCAGTTTCGAAAAGCTTTAGTTTAGATACAATGACCCTCCCTACCTGGTCTAGACAAGATCATACAGAGGGGCAGACAAATCACCGTGGAGCCCTTTCCACACCCTCTCCTTCTTAACCTAGAAAGTACGGAAACCGTCCCCATGACCCTGAAGTTAGTCACATGCGCAAAATGTTAACCTGGCTACCTGAAACAAAACCTTACTGAAGGTATTTCTCAGAGCGAATAAAAAGAGCATTCTTATTCCTCACACATATTCCAATTACTATAAAGATAATTTAGGAGGAGGCAACCTACAGACATGTAGACCTTCATGGCTCTAATATGCTAATTTGAAAAAATACTAACACTCAGGGCAGTATCCCTGAAATGAAATTATAATTCCATTTTAAAAGTAATTGAGAATATGAAGCTAGCCCAATTTCTATCTTTAGGGGGAAAAAAATCCAGAAGCAGTGTATAACGTAGTACTGTCCTTATCCAAACGGTAAGTGACATCACTTTAAAAATGAGAAAACTGAGGTATGCCTAGGTGGCTGTCAGCTAAACATCTGCCTTCAGCTCAGGTCGTGATCTTGGGGTCCTGGGATCGAGCCCAGGGCAGGCTCCTTGCTCAACTCTCCCTCTGCCCCTTCACCCAACTTGCGCTAAGTAAAAAAAAAAAAAAAAAAAAAAAAAAAAAAAAAAATTAATGAGAAAATTGAGAAAACCACTGCAATTCTCATTAAAACAAATACTATCCCAAACACTGAGTATTGAGAAAAATGATACATCAAGTATCTATCCTTCTAGACATGAAAAACACATCTCTAAGAAACCCACAGGGATGTCAATCCAACCACAAAGCGAGAGGAAACAAAATCCAACAGCAAGAAAAGCAAATCCCCTCTATGACATATGGCCTACATGACCCATATGGCCTACGTGACGCAGCTACATGAACTACCACTAGGTTCTACGCCAACTCCAACTTTCAAAGAATCTTCACAAAAAGCACCCCTAAAATATTCTATAAAGGTTCAATGAATAGATTTGTCAAATGAGTTAAGCACAATGTTATAGAGCACTTCACATGCCAAATACATATCCACATCCACGTAAATACATTTGCTCTCATACAAAATGCACACACACACTTTACAGAAAACCGTTAAAAACCACTGGTCACCACCGCCCAGCTATGGGGCTAGCTATGAGGATGACCGCCCGCTCCCCTTTTTGCCTTCCCTGTAATCGCCCCACGACTCTACTACTTGCACCTGAGGCCACGCTCCTGCAGCTCCCAAGCGGCCACGACCCCATCTGAGACTTGGGGGGGACCACACCAGCGATGGCCCCCCCGATTAGGGGGCTGCTTCGGGCTGAAGCATGGCATTCCCACAGGATGCTCTGTCTGGAATTTGGGGAGGTTCTGTACAAATCTTCTATGAACTCCGACCCCCGAGGAGTCTCCAAATGTCTGGGTGTCGGGGCGGAGGGCAAGGGCTGCGCGTCCATTAGCTGAGTGGAAAGGGCAGCCCTTGAGGATTCTATGAACGCACAGGGACTCAGGGCCGAAGCCAGCAGAAACCCTGACGTCCAGCTTTTAACTCTGTAAGGGTACCTGGGGGGCACCTGGGGGGTACCCGGGGGTTAGTACAGTAATTCTGAATCTGAAAAAGCAAACAGGGCCACTGGAAATGTTTCTAAATAAAGGTGGGGCGGGGAGGGTAGGCACATTTCCTTTGTTTTCTCCAAGTAAAAACAGAGATTTTAGAAATGCAAATTTTGACTCTCAGCGGTATCCGCACAAACTACTATATTGTCTTACAAAAATATGAGCAAAGCATACGCTCCCAAAAAGTCCACACACAGCTTTCAAAAAGACTACTTTGGTTCAAAAAACAAAGACAAATGCCCATAGCTTCCTGTGGAAACAGAAACAAAGTCAAATCTTCAAAAATATTTAGCATTCTACTAAATAAAATACAAACCCCACATTCCTAAATAAAACGGCAAAGATAAAACCCCTTGTAGTTCTCTGGCCACAGTAATATGAGATTGGTGATTCAGAGCAAAACCTGATGTTAAACATAACTATACAATATTACTAATTACAGAGTAATTTTACCAATAAATATTTTGGTTGGGGACTGCTTTGTCATCTTTGCAAGTATTTTTAGTTGAAAGCAAATGGCTGGGTAGTACACATGGACATGGTTATGATTTTTAAAAATCTATTTTTAAAATCTGGTGACTGGATAGGTCTTCTAAACTCGATTCTTTGGACCCGGTAATTTGGAAAGGGTAAACCACAGGAACGCTACGTTAGGAAGGAAAGGACGCGGCCAGCTCACCAACTCAGAGCAGCACAGGGTACACTGGAAGGCGCGGAGCGCTCAGGACCTAGTGACCACCGGCCAGAGAGCCACCAGCACGGGCACATACGTAACTGTCCTCAAAGCCAGCTCTCCAAATACAGTAAGAATTCCCTGAATTTCCTTGTTTTACATTTGCGGTTATTTTTTAGTGGGCCTCCTTTCGGGTCCATCCCCTAAATCTGAAAATCTGCTTCTTCCTACTTGGAATTAAATTTCTGATTTTAACGTACATACCAGCTGCATACCTACCCAATCTAATAATACATACCCAGCTGAAATATTCCGTAACAGTTAAATTTTTTTTACATAAGTTACCAATGATTTCACTAAAATTGTAACTTTGGTATTACTTTTAATCATTTTAAGCAATCCCCACCCAAGTTAGATACCAAGATATTCCGAGTGGGGAGCTCAACTCACCCACCTGTTTCCTCCACAGTGTCTCTGCACAGGTGCTCTAACTACTTGGGCTGGAGGTGAAAGATGAGCGACCACTTAGGACTCGGGCTTTCTTAAGGAAGTGTGTTTTGAACGGAAAGAAACTGTCCCCTAGGGTCAGTGCACGTGAGCAGCCTCTGGTTCTCAGCAGTCCTCCTGCACACAAGACCACTACCAGTGGAAAGTCTGCCCAGGGAGTGGGGAAAGCAGACTAGGACCAGAGGCACCCTAAATCCACCCCATTGTTCCCACAAGCTCCAAAGAGGAGACATCTGAGGTTTGAGGTGGTTCTCAATCTGAATTACAGGACTGGCCACCGCTGACTGACACTGCCTCGCTCTTTGCAAACTGTGTCCGTGGACGGAGGAAGCTGGGTGGCCTGGGTCACACCCCAAGACTGCCCACAGCACCCAGACAAGGGCAGCGCCCTGGTTTCCCAGGGAACCTGCTCAGGGCCTGGGAGTCCTACATCCCCGCCCCTGCGGCCAAAAAGCTGACTCGGTTTCCCTCAAGTGCTAAACCCAAAGTGAAATGAGATAGAAAGCTAAACTACACTGCGAATTCTCACAGTATTATAGACGGAGGACACAGAAATAATGCGTTCCGGTGGGAAAAGAAAACCTTGGGGGGGGGCTGAAGAATATGGACGAATAAAGGAAAGACTCTTGGAGTCATTAAAAATATGAAAAAGCTTACATAACAGTAAAAAGAACAAGACTGCTGTCACGACGACATGCAAAAGACATTTTGGAGACAAGAAGTTCAAGAAACAGGAAAGGACGGGATTCAAAAAAAAAAAAAAAAAGCACATTTACTGCTCCGATCTGTTCACTTTCCCTCCGTCTTAGAAGCAGCGGCCGCGGTGGAAGCGACGAGGAACGGGTGGATGGAAGGATCCGCAAATTAGCGGGGGGGCCCGGAGGCCGTGCCGCTGAGTAACCGGCCTGGGCTGCAGCTCCTCTGGCCTCCCCGCAACCCTGGCCGCCGAGGAGCAGCGCCCCCGGGCCCCACCCGGCGCCTGCACCGGGCACTCTGCACCCCGCACTCGCACCCCCAGACCTCGGACCGCGCACCCTGCACCCCCGGATCCTGCACCGCGCACTCTGCACCCCGCACTCGTACCCCCGGACTCCGCACCCTGCACCGTACACTTGCACCCCCGGACCCTGCACCCCCAGACCCTGCACCGCGCACTCGCACCCCCAGACCTCGGACCGCACATCCCCGAACCTCGCACCCCGCACCCTGCACCCCCGGACCCCGCAACCTGCATTTGCACCCCCCGACTCCGCACCCCGCACCGTGCACTCGCACCCCCGGACCCCGCACCCGCCCCCCGCCCCTCGCAGCGGCCCCGCGGGCGGACGGGCAGTGGGCGCAGAGACCCCGGCGCTGGGGGCCGCCCGCGACCTCCGGGACCGCAACAGGGCGCGAGGGGAAGGGGGGAGGGACGGGGCGGGGCGCGCGTGGGGCGGCGGGGCGCGTGGGGCCCCTCGCCCAGCCCCGGCACCGCCCACGCGCGCCGCGGGCCCCAGCCGCCCCCCTGCCGCCCCTCACCCCCGCGCCGAGCTCCGCGCCGGGATCCGCTCCGGCCCGCGGCCGGCGCCCGGGATGCAGCGGGATTCCTCCGCCGGCCTCCCCGCGGGCCCGGGACGCGCCGCCCCAAACCCCCGCACCTCGGGGCCCGCGCGGCTCACCGGCGCCCCCGCCCCTCCAGGCGCCGCCCCGACGTGGCCCGGACCCCGGGGAGGGAGAGGCGGGCGGGGGACGCGGGACCCGGGCCTCGGGGCGGGAGGCAGCAGTCCCGCGCCGCCGCCCTCCCCCCGGGGCGCCGTCCCGCCGCCGCTTCCTGCCCGGCTCAGCGCCCCGGCCGCGGCCTCGGGGACACTCCGGGCGGCCCGCGCTCCGCGGGGACCAGCCGCTCCGCCCGGACCCCGGGACCTCGGGACCCCCGACCCCTCCCAGCCCCCCCAGCCCCGCGGCGCCCCCAGAACTCCGATCCGACCCCCGGCCCCCGCCCGCAGCCCCGCAACCCCGCGAGCCGCCTCACCGCGCTCCGCGCCGCCGGGGCTCGCTCCCGCGGGGCCGCTCCCGCTCCTGCCGCAGCCTCGGAGCTGCCGCGCCGCCTCCTCCGCCGCCGCGTTTCAAATTGAAATTCCCTGGCTCGGGCCGTCAGAGCCCCAGCGCCCGCCCCGCCCCTCGCGGCGGAAGCCCCGCCTGCGCCCCCCGGACGCGCCCCCAGCGCGGAAACCCCCGCGGCCGCGCCACGCCCCGGCCACGCCCCGGCCACGCCCCTCCGACCGCGCCACGCCCCTCCGGCTGCATCACGGCCCTCTGGCCACGCCCCCCTCGACAGCGCCACGGCCCTCTGGCCGCGCCACGGCCCTCTGGCCGCGCCTCTTCGGCCGCGCCACGCCCCCTATGGCCACGCCCCCCTTCGGCCACGCCCCGGGGCGGGGCTTGCCGCGGGATTCACCGCCCGGGCCGCCGGGCACCCGCGGCTGCAAGGGTGCGCTCCCCGACCGCGAACCCCGCCCGTAAATCCCGTTTCACCAACTTTGCAAACTGCTTTCCTCGGACTGCGCGAGGCCTAAGCCGTCACTGAGCCCATGGACGCGGGCACAGGGCTCGCGGGTCCCTTTCCGCGGAGCCCGGGGAAGAGCTTTCCCGCGGGGAGCAGAAGGCCTGGGGGGGGGCGTCTCCCGTGGCCCAGGGCGTGACCCCGGGTCCCGGCATCCGGTCCTCGTCCAGCTCCTCCCTCGCTCGGCCTGGGTCTCTGCCTCTCTCTGCGTCTCATGAATAAATACATAAAAATGTTTTAAAAAGAAAGAAAAAAGAAAAGGAACTATTTATTCTTCCTGCGGGAGGGGCTGGGGGGTTTGGGGAAACCCCACAGAGGAGGGACTTTCACGCCGGACCCAAAGCGTGAGTAGGCTTCCTCCAGGCAGCACCCTGGGAGCCCGGATTGCAGAGCAGGACAAGGCTGAGGATGCTGCAGACCTAAGGCTGTGAAAGACACACACAGGATACCTCCCGGGGCCCTGCTGCTTTTCTTTTATAAAATTACACCACTTTTTCTCAGATTCTACTGATTTCATCTTTTCTGAACGTTGGTGCATCAAGAGGGAGGCGCAGGGCAGGCCTCCAGGGTGTGCCAGCCGCGCACCTCTCGTTCTTGCTCCCTCCCTCCCTCCCTTAGCGAGGGCTTTAATGACGCTGCCTGGGCCAAAGTCCTCTTTTCTTTGCCAAACATAATCTTTTCTAAAACTAACAATGTCGCATAGAAGCTCGGTTACAGTCTCCCGGGGCCTGGTGCTTGTAGTCGACAAAGCTCCTTCACGTATCTTCTCATTTGATCCTCCCAATAACTGTTGGGAAAGGGCAGGGCAAGTATTAACCCCAGCACATCAAAGAAAATTAAGTCGGGAAGACACACTGTTTTCTAAAGATCTGCTGGTAAACAATAAAGGTAATAATAGCCGGGTGGCCTGGGTGGCTCAGTCGGCGAAGCACCTGCGTTTGGCCCAGGTCATGATCCCAGAGTCTGGGGATCAAGGCCCCATTCAGTCTCCTTGCTGAGCGAGGGGCCTGCTTCCCCCTCCATCTGGTGTCCCCCCTGCTTGTGTCCTCTCCCTCTCTGATGAATAAATAAATAAAATCTTTTTAAAAATAATACCAGTAGTCGCTAACACCTATTGCATGTTCCACGTACTAGATGCTGTTCTAAGCCCCTGACGTATGTGAACTCACCCGATCCTGCGTGCGCTGAGCACCCTGCTGGCCTTAATCAGAGGCACTGATATGGGGGGAAGAGCCCTGATAAGAGAGCAGCCTTGATGGGAGAAAGCCCGGGATGTCGTGAGATGATACCAACAGGAACTTTGAGGCCGATTTACAAGGAGACTAACAACACTGAAGCTTCGGGATCCCTCATTCTCACAGGCCTGAAACTAACTATATTTGTAAATTTTTTGCTTAAGAAAGAGAGTCCCTAAGGTTATTTAAGCTCTAAAACCCATAAGACCTTTGTCTAGACCTGGTGAGAGCCCTTAAAAATGCTAATGCAAAATAATAACATAAGTCTAGGCATAATTGATAAACGATAATGCCCTTCTCATAGGAAATGATTCCCGTCCTCTGTTCTCCGCTGACGCATGGGAGTCACTTCAGGAAGCTACCTTTTAGGGGGGATACCGAGAAGCGAACTTATATCCGCGGGTGCCTAGCCTTGATAACGCAGGAGCCGGCAAGGTTTAGACTAAAGAGATGATCAAAGGTCCTGGGAAGGGTGTAATCAGACCTCTGAAGGCTCTTGTGCAAAAGAATCAGACTTTGTGGTGTCGATACAGCCTTACAACATTTCAGTGGAACGGAGCCGACTCTGTGATGACCTGCAAGGAACTGAAGGAGGAAAAATGGAATTCTGGGAGCGATAAGGAAGGGACCAACACAGATGGCTCGTGGCATGGCACAGACGTCAGCAGACAACAGGTGGCATTCCAGGCGAGCAGGGAGGCCTTAACCAGGAGAGAAAAGAAGTTGGGACGGCCAAGCAGGGCAGAGTGTGAACGGGTGATATTCGTAGATGCGGGCAGTCAGCACGGGCAGGCCCACCGGGCGGGAGTTCAAGGCAGAATATTTGTCTCCAGGAAAACGGATTGATAAAAGCCAGGCTGGGTCTCACCATTCAGACGGACTAGAGTAACAGGGAGGGACCCACAAAGAACAGCACAGGAATCTGGACACCAGACCCTAGAGTCATCCTATCCAAATTTAGCGCCGCTTCAATCTTAGGCACCATCTGCAGGCAAAGCCAGTCTGGCCTTGTAAGTAGGAGGCAGCCCGGATCTCCCCAGCCCTCCTCACCAGCTCATCCGAGCACTCCTCAGAATCTGGATCCCACCATACCGGTGAGTCATCCTTCCATCCTCGTGCCTCTGGCTGCCAAGCCCAACCAGGTAGCAGTACTGGGCGGGCTTTGAACGAGAACCTGCCCTCGGGTCCTCGGCAGGGAGACCGCTCCATCTCGGACGCATGTTCCCAGGCCCGCGGCCTACGCGATAAGGACACCACATAAGTGTCGCAGGAGGCACTCCCCGGGCCAATCCTTGGAGCTTTGCACTTGTCTGTGGCTGCACAACCCCCCAAATTAGTGACAAACATTTCGTTGCTGGGATTCTTTGGGCATCGAAGCAGGCTCAACGAGATGGTTCCGTTCTGCGCTGTGCGGTGTTGGCTGGAAGGGTCAACTGTGGACGAGCCGTCCAAGGTGGCCTCACCCGGTCAGGCAGTTGGTGCCGCCTGTCAAGGAGGAGCCTAACTTCTCCTCCACAGGAGCTCTCCTTTTACAGCTCTCTCCCCAGGTGGCCTCCTAGCAGGATGGGCTGGGCTTCTCTCCGCAGCACCTGGCTCCCGAGGCATGAAAGCAAAAGCTTGAGCGTCTGCCCTCGGCTCAGGGCGTGACCTCGGGGTCCTGGGATCGAGTCCCGCGTCGGGCTCCCCTCACGAGGCCTGCTCCTCCCTCTGCCTGGGTCTCTGCCGCTCTCTCTGGGTCTCTCAGGAATAAATGAATACACTCCCAACTATTGCTAGTAAAAGTATGTTTCTCAACCTGCCGAACTGAGCTGCTTCCTCAGCTGGCCTGGGGTCGTGCCACACGCGCAGCCCTGCTCCGTGTGTCTCGGTGGCAGAAAGCCGCCCGCCCACGTGGGGCCCCTGGAGCTGTCACTCCATGGATGTCACCGTCAATTGCTCCCCGGAGCTGGAAGCAGAAGCAGAAGAGGGCCCAATGAGAACCACTCCCACGAAAGCTGCATTTGCAAAGAGTGAAACAAAGACGTGAGCAGTCCGAGGGGCGTGATGCCGCGGGCCTCGCGCAGTGTCTGCACACGCAGAGGCGAGTAACACGGGTGCTCCCATGGTGCAGAGCAGTCCAGGGGCACTAACTGGGCCGAGCAGTTGGCAACTATGGTTCCCACCTGTGCCCCCCAGATTGTCCTCATCGCCCAACGCAGACGTTTATTCCGCCAGGTGACTGTCACGGGACACACAAAGCTAAGGCAGTGTTGTCCAGGCCAGCACACCGAGTCCCACACACACCAGCTCCATCCCGCAGTGACGCAGCACAAGCCATGAAATCTGTTACTTTACTGGAATTCCCCGTGACAAGTCAAGGGAGGCTTCCGTGTCCCTGGTCCTCGGAGGGAAGGTTTGCGGGGCTGCAGAGCGAGCAGCAGCCCGATCCCACCGAACCCGGCGCAGGGACTGTAGGGTCTGTAGGCAAGTCTCAGCGGCTGGACCCATCCTCCGGGGGCGGGGGCGTGGCAGAGCAGGTGCTGGGTCCCGAGGCCTGGCCTGTGGCGCGTCCCGCTCGGCTTAAAGCTGTTTTGCAGGCGCGTGGCTGAGCCCCGTAGAAACGGTGAAGTCATTGTAAGAGGTCAGAAGCTGTGACAAGATCGCACATCCCACGTCCCTGTACATCACACCGGACCCACTGACACATGGGGCTTTGGGTTGCGTCCCTTGGGGAGGGTCCCTGGTCCTGCTTTGTGTGATAAAACAGACCCGGATGGTGAGGAGAACAGATCATGGCAGAGGCAAGGCTTCCTGGTCACCAGAACAATTTTCTTGTCCCCCGGAGCACAGACCTATCCACCGCTTCCAGCCTCCCTTCCAGCAAAAGGTGCCCACACACCAGTGGAATCCGGGTAGGGCTGGTATACACTGTCTCCACGCAGGGTCCCCCCTAAAACCATCTCCTGCATGCTCCTTTGCTCACTTCCTCCTTCCTTTGCCAGGTGCGGAGGACCCAGAGAGCTCTAAAGTCCTAGGGCACGAGGGACCTTCCAGAATGTAGGAAGCCTGGGTCCCTAAACCACGATGAGGAACGAAGCCTTCTCCCACCCCCACTGGACTCGGAGCGAGAAATAAGGAAGAAATAAGCCTTTGGGGTGTTGAGCCCCTAAGATTTTAATGTTTTCCCCCCATAGCTAGTAGGCCATCCTGGAACTAGACAAAGTTCAACCAAACCACTCAGAAAACAAGAACAGATGAAATATATTTGAAGTCATTGTATGCTATCAGAGCACAACGGGAACAGCACAATGTGGAGATCATGAGGCCAATCTCAACAACAGGCCCAGCAGTTCTGAGTCCTAATTGCAGGCACTAGAAACATGTATAAAGGGGAGATAAGTTCTGATTAAGGTCCTCATGGAGGTTCAAGAGTGGCCAGATGGCCTTGAAGGAACTATGTGAGCAAAGGCAGGGAGGCTTTGAAGGGGAGCTTGAGTTTAGAGCTCACTCTATAGTCATCCGGGACTCAGGATAGGTTTCTATGAGATCATCATATGATGAAACGTCTTACCCATTTGTTATATTAAATATAAATTTCCCATCAAGTCTTAGTTAAGCAAAACCCTCAAAGCACAATAATTCAACTCACTTAAACCTAAACTTAATAAATTGAGCAAATATTTTCTTTGTAATAGACCATGAACGAAGTGGCTTGGCAAGCCCCCTCATTTTACCCTTTAAAAATA